TTTTTCTTTTCGTTTCACCTGAAGGCTCGAAATAACACGTGTAGAAAATAAAATATTCTAATAACGTTAATAGCGATCGATAATCGAACATTATTCATCATTACGATCAGCGCTATTTCAATTCGAAATACACAATTATTTTCACTGTTACGAGAGAAACGAAATATAATTATTGTTTAATATAAAATGGGACAATGTATGCCGAAATGTCTCAAACCAAGTATTTCATTAGAATCGATCATTACTGTTGTCGAAGATCGAGCTACACAAACAATAGTTTCTTCTATAATTTCACCTAGAACATTGTCTTTCACAAGACCATGGCGAGTTCGAATTGTTCAAAATTTCGAGTTACTCTGGTTAGACTCGAACATTGATGAGCTTGATCCGGACTTTAAATATTCACTTGCTCAACTGCGACGAATTGTCAATTCAATTCATACATTTACTAATCCTGATTCATGTGTGAATTTTCTCAATGAAATAAAAAATGAAAAGGCATTTTTACTCATATCGGGTAGGTTTTGTCAATCAGTCATACCAGTTATTCACGACGCAGCTCAACTTGATTCTATCTATATATTTTGTGAAAATAAGTCAAAATATGAACAGTGGGCTTTGGATTGGACAAAGATAAAGGGTGTTTTTACTCAGATCGAGACTATTTGTGATGCACTAAAACAAGATACTCAACAATGTAATTATGATTCTGTTTCTATCAGTGTGACAAGTAAAAATGTGGATCGTTTAGAACCATCATTTATGTATACACAGTTGCTCAAAGAAATACTTCTTGATATGGAATATGATGATACGGCAAAGACAGAACTTGTTGAATTTTGTCGAGAACAATTTCATGATAATCCACATGAATTGCAAATTATCGATGAATTCCAACGAGATTATCATGTTCATACACCTATCTGGTGGTACACTTGTGAATGTTTTACTTATCAACTACTTAATCGAGCTCTTCGTATACAAGATGTTGAAATTATTATTAAAATGGGGTTTTTCTTACGTGATGTTCATCGACATCTTGAAGAATTACATTCAGAAATCGATCCAAGCATTTTTATTACTGTTTATCGAGGTAAAAGTATGCCAATTGCTGATTTTGATGAGATAAAAAATCGAAAAGATGGTCTATTAGCATTTAATACCTTCTTATCGACGAGTCTAAATGAAGAAGTTTCATTACAATTCGCTAAAAAGTCACTTAAAAAGGCTGGTACAATCGGTGTTCTTTTTCAAATTACTGTTGATCCATCGGTTCCTTCAACTCCATTCGCCCCAATTAGAGCAGTTAGTGCTATTCCAAGTGAAGATGAAATCTTATTTTCTATGCACACTGTATTTCGAATCGCTGAAATTAAACAGATTGAAGAACGTCTTTGGCGTGTAGAACTTACATCCACAACTGATGATGATCAAGATCTCAAACGACTCACTGAATACATGCGAGAAGAGAAATCAAAATCAACAAAATGGGAACAACTAGGTTATTTGCTAATCAAAATGGGAAATTTTGATAAGGCTGAAGAAATTTTTCATATATTACTCGAACAGACATTCAAAGACGATGAACAATTACATCCTTCACTTTATTCTTATCTTGGAGATATAAAATGTAGCAAAGGCGATTATAAAGGAGCACTTGGATTTTATGAAAAATCACTTGATATTCGACAAAAATATCCCGATACAAAACCATCTGATCTCGTTCATAATTACAACAACATTGGTCTAATGCATGACAATATGGCTGAATATTCGAAAGCACTAGACTTCTACCATAAATCTTTTGAAATTGGAGAAAAATCTCTTCCTTCAAATGAAATCAGTTTAGCTGAAACTTGTAATAATATTGGTGCAGCATATTGTCATTTGGGAGATTACACGAAAGCACTGGAATTCTATGAAAAATCACGTGAAATTTGTATTGAATCTCTTCCTACAAATCATCCAGATTTAGCTACTGTTAATAGCAACATCGGTGAAATTCATCACCGAATAAAACAATATTCACAAGCAGTAACAGCTTACGAAAAAACACTTGAAATTCGACAAAAAATTCTTCCACCGAATCATCCAGATTTAGCTATTATTCATAACAGCATCGGTTTATTGCATTGCAATATGGGAGAATACTCAAAAGCACTCGAGTCCTTTCAGATGGATCTAGATATCAAAGAAAAATCTCTTTCTCAGAATCATCCTAACTTCGCTATTACATACAATAACATGGGTTTGGTGTATTCTAATATGAAAGATTACCCAAAAGCACTTGAGTTTTATCAAAAATCACTTGACATCAGCTTAAAATCTCTTCCACCAAATCATCCAGATTTAGCTACTACTTATAATAACATCGGCCTAATACATAGTGCAATGGGAGACTACTCAAAAGCACTAGAATTTATTGAAAAATCACTTGCAATCAAAGAAGAAACTCTTCCTTCGAATCATCCAGATCTGGCTGCTAATCACAATAACATCGGTTTAATATATTGGAATATGGGAGAATATTCAAAAGCACTTCCATATTACGAACGTGCAGTGGAGATCGCAGAAAATACGCTATCTCAGAATGATCCAGCATTGGCTTCTATCCTTAATACTATCGGCTTGGTACATATTCAAATGGAAAATTATTTAAAAGCGTTGGAATTTCTTAAAAAATCACTTGTAATCAAAGAAGAAATTCTTCCATCAGATCATCCAGATTTGGCTAATACATGTAATCATATTGGTTTAGTGTATTATAATTTAAAAGAGTATTCAAAAGCGCTTCCATATTATGAACGTGCTGTTGAAATTGGACAACGTGCGCTCCCGCAAAATCATCCTTATCTACAAGCGTATCAAAACGTTCTTGCTGATGTACAAATGAAATGTGATGTAAATCAGTTTGATGTTTACTAAAAACACCTTAACCCAACTATCAAGAACTGGCACACCGGCTCGTTATATATATATTTCTAGAAAGGATTTATGAACTTTTATTTTTAATTAAAATATAAAACTAAATAATGTTTCTCTCAAACAAACTATAAAGTAATATCATCAATTTTTTTCGCTTCATGAAGAAGTAACATTTTGAATATAGTTAGGATCGAGAAATAGCTTTACATGATAGATTAAGCGCTTTATTTTGTAAATTTATTTCTATATTTTTATATTTAAATAACCAATAAATTATAATAGATTATGGAATAGTTTTTGTATTTGTATCTTCTATTGCTTATTCTTATGTTTCAAGTAAGTTAATGGTGAGATAAATGTATCATTTAGAATGTTAAGTCTAAAATATTGCACATTCTCAATCTGCTTAATTCACAATTCCTAGCAAAAAATGAAGTTGTGGTTCTACTGTAAAACGTCGAAAGTAAAAATGTCGAGTAGTAAAATGTTGAAAAAAAGACGTGGTAGGTAGCGCCATTTTTACCATTCGACATTTATATTTAATCTTCGACGTTTTACAGTAGAACGTATTGCACGAGTACTATACTTGATAAAATAAATCATGGTATTCTAATGTAGTATAGTACTTACATGTTCAAAAAATATTTAGAGTATTCTGTTAGACTTATCATCCTCATATATAAATAGTTTATAATATATTGTCGATCTGATTATTTTTAATATTGTCATGCAGTTGGAATATTCCATTTGAAGAAGTCTTGAGAAAAGATCTTATCATCGACATGTCTCATAGCATAATGTGAATTATTCAATTAAATTACTGTAAAAGCCTCTACATTAATTGAATGATTTTTAAACAAAACGGATACTAAAATGAGTGATAATGTAAATCCTTGATCGCATCTACTAGTCTTTCAAATTTTGTTTTCACTTTTTGCAACAGAAGTAATGAAAAAAACATATTTAAAAGTCTGACATGTATTTGTATTTAGTGACTACAGAATTTTTAAAAATAACAGTCGCTTAAATTGTAAGAAGTTATAAAAACCGTGGGTTTGCATTACCAAGTTGTTATGCTATCAGCTGTCCTTACGTACTCCGTTTTTTTTACAACAGAACAAGAAAAAGAAATGTGTAAAGCCGCAATAAATGCCGTGCTTTAGCGGTACAAGCAGTCTTGCTATAACTTTTCCTGTTACAACTTACTATAGGAAGGTATGTCGTTACAAATTCAAAATTGTTGAAAACCCTCTCTCTCATGACTAGCATAAGGTCTAGTAGAGGTCGGTAAACGCCAAGTAGACCGGTGTTTTCGTAGGTTTAGAATAATTAGACGTAGTTGCAGCTTAATGATCTACAGTGAATCATTAGTTCGTAGGTCCTTGAGTATCGAGGTAATTTGTTTGATCTTTCCCGAAAATTTGCTTATTAGCTTATGAAAACCTTATACTGTTGCCGGAAATTCAAACCGTTGACCACCGCGTTTTGTCAGTTTTTTCCTTGAGTACTCTTAGATTCTGTTGTAGTGCATCTGGTGGACATTTTTGCAAAAAAAATATTTATTCAGATTTATTTTTATTAGGTATCTACTATTAGTTCTTTTCGATTGGTAATCTGCGTGAATCAGTACTTATATGTTTTAGTTGTTGTTTCTAAAATGGTAAAAGGAGAACCAAGCTATAAATTAGTTGACAGACAAACAGTTGCATCACTCAATAATTATGATAGAGAAAGTTAAAGTTTTGTTGACTCTAATGATTTATTTTAATTTTTTATCGCGCATCTCTATCTTAAAATATGGTTATTCATTCGTCCTCCTACAGTTAGTGAACAGAAAAAATGCCATGAGTCAAAACGTATAAATAGTATGGCTTCGTGTATCGTCACACTGAAAGAAAGAAATAAAAAATACTTTCATTTGTTTCTGCCTCAAAGTAGATGATGCGGTGGGTTTTTTTCGCGTGTTGCGTTTATGAAGGGCGATACAAAATTATTTTTCTTGTTTAGAGAAAAAACAAACTGCAATTATAGTAGTGTTTATATTTTAGTTTTGGTGTATTCAAGAATATTATTCGATGGATTCGAAGGTAAAAATATCCGCTTTATTACACGAGTTTTGTCGTGAAAAGGTTCCAGTTGATAGTTCATCATTATTATCATCATTTCGTGACGTTAATACTACTTTTAACACTATCACTGATGATACAGTACGAAATATCGTGGCTGAACGTATTTTCAAAAATAAGTATTTACGTACTGCAATGTTAAAACGTGAGATCAATTGCACAACTGTTGAGCAATATCATAAACAAATTAAAAAAGGCCAATTACATGATGGTGAAATCGAAATTCAGGCTTTATCTATTATATGTCATATATTAATTTGGGTGGTTTCAATGGCAAAAAATGATCAAGGCAGTATTAATGTAAAAATGTCGAAATATGATGGTTATGCACAACAATTTGAGAAGTGTGTTTACATCCTCTATGATGAAGAGGCAAAACGTTATGATCCGTTGTACATAGTCAACAAAGACAATCGAGATGAAAAATTAACAATTTTTGAACGCGACAATACAGAAACGTTAGATCTTCTTCGTACGTTTATTCAAGAAGAACTTCATGGTAAGAGAAATATATTCTGACAACAAAAAAATAATTTTCTTGTTTTAGCTGTTAATTTTAAAGAATTAGATTGTTGCACTGCATCTCATACAATGGAATCTCCAGCTACAATGAATGGTAAACTAACAATATTTTTATTTTCTTAATATTATATTTTTTCTTTCATAGATCTTAATGAATGTGAAAATATATGGGATATGATTACCCCGAAGGCTGATAGAAGTTCACCAATTAAACGAAAATTACCAAGTAAAATTATAAATATGTCTTTCTTTCATAAATCTAAATATTTTATAGATTACCAGGAATTAACGTTGGGCCAAAATATCGAAGAAGAATTATCATCCAATGAGAGTATTCGTTAGTTAGAAGTATTTTTAGAATATTTATATTTCATGATATTTTATTTATAGCTAATGATCGAGGAACAAAACACGCTAAAACTGATACAGATGAGCTCTTGGAATCTGGTAGGTTAATTTCTTAAAATTTCATATAAAATTTGGATATAATAGTTAAAACCAATTCGGAATGTATGACAATTGAAAAACATTTACCAACAAATTCTAGTGCTATTGAATCTGGTATGTATGAAACACAGAATGTTATCTTTCACAAGTTCAAAGAAAATTTTAGAATCGCAGATCGAACAACAATCAACAATGAATAGTCCAGCAGCTGTAAGCCAACCAATGAAAATGCGACTGAAAGTAAAGCTTGCTAAAAAATTTCGTGGTCGTACACGTGGTGATTTTATACCTAAAAAAAAGCGTAATCGTAAGAATGAACCATCAAAACCTCGACCACCACGTTATTTTTCTGATCGAAATGGAAAAACTTATTTAAATTTATTGGTTTGTTTTTTGTTGGTAACAGTTATGTAATATCAATTCTTTATCTTATTTAGATTCCAGAAAGAATTTTCTCAGATGATTTACATCAAATTAAAGTTGAAGTTGCCATAATTACAAAAAAAAAAAATGGTTATTCGTATATTAGTCCATACTTTAAATTTATGGAAGTGCCTAGTAATCCTATAGTATCACCGCTTTGTAATCCAATATATATGTTTGTGGATCATAAAACTGAATTAAATAGATATCCAGACATGATGCGTCAATTGAAGTGATTAACATTCTATTAAATAAAATAAATATGATAGTCATTGTATTATAGGCTTCGACTAGTTGTTGTTACGCATACGATCGGAGAGCTAATGGAATCTGAACAGCCTTTAACCATTTTTTCATCACCCAAAAATAATAATGGTGAGCTGTATGATTTAACATATAGCACTCTAATTAATTTTATAGGTCAAAAAGCGATTACAAAACGATTTAAGAAACGGAAGACATTTAAAAATAAATATGATCTTCATAAAATGCGATTTGCCATTACTCTATGGACAAAACAACATGGTGAAGAAGAATTTAAGCGACGTGAAGATATACAACATATCAGTTCGATTTCAACTGAAGATAGAAAATGTAAAAGAAAAACATTAAATTTTAATCATTAATTTTCTTATTTTTTAGATGTAGCTCCTAATAATTCAAGAACACGTCATAATACTACAATTGTTATACCGTAAAACTACTTATGCCATAATAAGATTTAATCCAACACGAACAATAACAAGATCAATTATTTTAATATTTACATTTCTTTTTTTTTGTTAAAATAAAATTCTCCGTAATGTAAAAGTTTTAAAATACGAATATATTGAATATAATTGATCACAATAAATTTATCTTTGTATGCAATTGTCTGTATATGAAAAACTATGTAGGAATATAGATATGTCAAAAAAAAAATAAATGCAATAAAATTCAAAACACACTGGACAAATATGTTTTTACAAAACAAAAAAAAATATATATGTATAAACTAATGTTCTAGAATAATTGAATTGTTGACGATTTATAGTTACACGATTGATTGTTGTCAAATTATCCAAAGTATGATTATAATTTTTTTTGTTTATTAGTCGAAGGTATTGTTGAATATGTTTAACAATCTGATTAAGGTTTATGCATTGTCTAAAACTAAACCTACAACATCCATATCAGCAAATATTGCTAATGGAAATATTTCGTTAGCATAATTAGCCACTCGTTCTTCAAGTAATGCACGATAATGTGCCATTTCTGCAATCCCATCCAACTCAGGATCGAAATCATCATGCGTGGGCAATTCCTCTTCAAGTTCTGCACGATAACGTGCGACTTCCGCGTTCATATCCAAATGAGGATCAAAATGAGCATGTCCGGTGTCTTCTTCTTCTGTACTATAACCTCGTACTAAAGCACTTACAATCAATTGATTCGCACGACGACGAGCACGTGCTCGTTTAACAAGTCTATAAATTCCAACTGTTGGTAAAATAGTTACAGCTGCTGTTACAGCACCAACAGCAACGATCGGTGAAGCAATAACAACACCAGTTGCAATCGTACCACGTATAGTTCTTCGAAGCCAGGGTTTGTTTGGATGAAGATTCTTGGGACATCCAAATACACTATTAAAATAAATTGATGAAAAACAAAACAAAAATAAAGATAAAGAAAGTCAAACCTGAATTTACTACCATGTTGACCAATAAATGGAATTTTACAATAACGTCGCCCACATAAATAACAAAATTCACACGCACATGATGAACATGTCATATGAGGACAACCTAATTTAAAATTTATGAATAAAATAGAAAAAATTTCTATTATTTTATCATACCTCCATTACGTTGTATAAATGTCGAACATTTTGGGCATTTTCGGGCATTCCGTTGTTCATCATTTTCTTGATTAACCCATTTTAATAGAAGTTTATCACCTTTTATAAATTGTTTACATGTAAAATTTTCATGCCACGGTGCTGAACAACGAAAACACCAAACAAGTGAACATTCGGAACATTGAACTTGTTTTGGAATTTTTTTAGTATTTATTTTATCTTTCGATTTTTTATCAGTTTTTGTTAAAATTATTGGATTTATTTCATCAAGTGAATAAAGATGGGAACAACGAGGACCTAAAAGAACATACGTAATAGAAAAAATATAATTGAATTAAAAAATTTTTATTTACAAGTTTTAGCACGTGGACTTTGATTGGCATTTGCATAAAGTTTAAGATAACGATCATGTAAAACTGAATCATGACGCATAAAATTCATTATTGATTCTCTTCTTAAACATTTGTTGCAGTCATTTGACATACATGGAATTTTAATTCGACCATCATTTAATGTCGCTGAAATATGAGAACA